TTTTTTTTTGGTTGTAGTTGTCGTTGTTTGGCAGGCCCAGGCTGGGTTGGAACCTGCCAGCTCTGGTGTATGTGGCTGGCGCCCTAGCCGCTGAGCTATAGGTGCCAAGCCTGTCTTAATCTCTACCTTAATCTTGTTTGAGAAAATTCTTAAAATCATTATGCTAGTCTTGATCTGAGCTCTGAGTATTTATTTTTCTTAAACTTAATTATTTTCTAGTAAACTAAGTTAATATGTTTTTTCTCAAAAAGCATTTATTTGAAATAAGTAGTATATAATTTGTGAACTCTACCTTTCTAAGGTTTTTTTGGAAAGTAATTCTGTTTAAAAATTGTCTGATTGGGTTCTGCAGTGAATATGTAAGGGTATTTCTGTATTCTTAATAAATGTCATTTTATCCACACTAGAGATCTCCATGTTTTCCAATCTTTACTAAAAACCTTTTGCTATGTGAGTGGCATTTATTGAATTTCTACTATATATCATTTGTAGTTGTGGTCACTGATAGATATGGAGAATTTTAAACTGAAATTAAGTAGTTATTTTTTTCAAAAATAGAGGGATACCCATGTGAGGGGATACTGGGCGTTTAAACAATTTTATTAGTATGTAATATAGCATTAATTAACTATAGCATTGGTTTCTCAGTTTTATTTAAGATTGACTTTATTTGTAATTAAGGTAATAACTGGTATATTGTATTTTGTGAATATTGAATGTATGAATATTGTGAATGGTTGAACCATAGTATTGATAAAATCTAATGATTTGTTAAGATTAAGTCTATTATTAATGATGAATACTTTTAAGTTCAGTTTTAAAAAAAAGGAGATAATTCTGGAGTTCTATTTTAATGTGAGTTTAACTGCTTTGTTGTTAGTAAACTTTTCCTTTCTTAATCTGTGTGAAGGTCTGAACACGAGAGACATTCCCCGAACTGCCCCTTTGTGAAAGGTGAGCACACACAGAATGTGCCACTGTCAGTCACTCTCGCAACCAGTCCTGCACAGTTTCCCTGCACGGATGGAACCGACAGGATATCTTGCTTTGGGTCGGGGAGCTGCCCTCATTTTCTAGCTGCTGCAACTAAACGAGGGAAGATCTGCATATGGGATGTTTCTAAACTTATGAAGGTATGTTTTAATTTTAAGGTAGCAGATTTTTAATTGGAAAAAAAATCAGTGGTAAACTTTGGCTTTTTGTTTGTTTAGGTGCACTTAAAGTTTGAGATTAATGCCTACGATCCCGCAATTGTACAACAGCTTATTCTGTCAGGAGAGCCGAGCTCCGGAGTTGATTCCAGGAGACCAACTTTGGCATGGCTAGAGGATTCCTCTAGTTGCTCAGATATACCCAAGCTGGAAGGAGATAGGTATGGGAATTTGTTCTATAGAATTTATCCATGTTGGCTCGGCGCCTGTGGCTCAAGCGGCTAAGGCGCCAGCCACATACACCTAAGGTGGCGGGTT